TACTGCGTCATCGGAAGAAAAACCCAGAGCATTGCTCCATGAAATCTTAAATTCTTCCTCATTTGTGATAAGACATCGTGAACGCTGGTAGAATGCACATCAGCTCCTTTTCTTCTCATTTCTTGCTTGTAGGGTCTCACTGCAGTACGGCCCTCTCATGCTCCTCTGTTGCAGCTGCTTAACTCAACTTTGCACAGTAGCAGCCTCAGGATTTAAAACAAATATACTCAGCTAATGCCAAAAGTCAGTAACATTAAAAACGTCAGACCGTAGGGAAGAAGTTCCTTGCTGTCACTGACCTGAGCTTCATTGCACATCTGTGTCTCAAAGCCTTACATCTGTTCGGGTGCAAGCACAGGTTTGTCCTCCTTGAGCTCCACGTCATGGCTGCCAGACCACACGAATGTTGCCACGTGTGGCCAGTGTCATCTGGGAGGTGCTAATGACCACCTCTGTCACAGGAAGACTGCTGGTTTATAACAGGTGACACCCATGGTGTACTTACTTACCCACAGCTCTTACAGCTTCTCTGAGGGGTTTTTGTTGAGGGATGGGACCATCACACGTGCTTTTCCTCTAGGAGAGTAGCATGGCCAACTTTGCAGAAGTAACCCAAGGTTGTTATTTCCCCTCTTGTTGCCACTCATGCTTCACCATCAGCTTCCCAGCCCATCTTTCTTCAACTGGCCTGGATGTCTGTAGCATAGTTCCCCCCCAGAAAGTGTCCTGCCCAGTCCGATGATATTTTTGAAGCACGGATGAAAAGAACTAGCCAGCACAGACAAACCTCAATCAGAAAAAGTTGTGTGTCTTTCATGAGGATGCTGTTTTGCATGTTGCTGTATTTTTTAATTATTGTAATGAGGTGTGATTGTCTATTGGTTACCCACAATACTTCTTGGGGACTCTCCCCCGGTAACTCTTGTCAACACTTGTTAATCTGACAAAAGGCTACAAATTAAGCTCTGTTAATTTAATGTTTTCTCACCGAGATCTAAATACCGAAAGAGGCCCAAAGCGCAACTGAAGTCCTTTGATTCACTGTACTTTATTTTGGTATAAATTTACATTCATTATTGTTTTCCTTTGGATGTGTAGCCCTCAATTAGTGTGATGGCTCCATTAAAGCAAGAGAGACTTCGCCTTTAATTATTACAACAAAACACCTAGTTTCAGCTTGGGGAGAGGGTCTCTATTGACATAAGCAGAGGTTATAAAATTTAATTAGCCATTCCTATCAGATTTATGGCATTCAAATTGTTCTGTGTTTCTTTCCTTTGATCCTTGCTGTACAATCCCCAAGATTTTTGTTCTGATCAAATGAGAATAAAGCTTACTGTGCAGAGAGATTATTACAACAAAACACCTAGTTTCAGCTTGGGGAGAGGGTCTCTATTGACATAAGCAGAGGTTATAAAATTTAATTAGCCATTCCTATCAGATTTATGGCATTCAAATTGTTCTGTGTTTCTTTCCTTTGATCCTTGCTGTACAATCCCCAAGATTTTTGTTCTGATCAAATGAGAATAAAGCTTACTGTGCAGAGAGAAGTTTTTTGTTGTGTTTTTTTTTTTTTTTAAAAAGACCTTTTTTCTTTCTCTCCCCTTCTTTTTTGCCAGGCAAGGTCAGCCCGTGTACCCAATCACAACAGGGGGTTTCCGCCACCCTTACCCAACAGCTCTGACCGTCAATGCTTCCATGTCAAGGTGAGTTCAAATGCTGAGGTCCTGAATCGAGAGCAAACGTAACTCCTCCTGCCGCCCTCTCTAGAGGAGGGTGTTTCATCTAGGAAGCACATTTCTGAAAGCACTTCAGTCATCCGTAGTTTTTTCGGTGGGGTGGAGGAGAAGAGGACAAGGGGTACCTTCCTATTGGAGGAGAAGAGGCTGTCGTAGTGCTGTCATTGTGCCATAAGAATTTGGTTTTGAGGGAGAGGTGAAGGAGCGGGAAGTTGTTTTTAAAAGCCAAACTAAATGAAAAAGCTGGGAGAATGTGATGTTGAAAAGGCAAAGAAGGAGAAGTCGTGACACCTCGTGCTTTCTCAGTGGCTATCACCTAGAGCAGCGCTCTGTGCAGGAGGGGAGGCTCAGAGGGAGGAGGGCCTGCTCTTCAAGCACACCTGGGAGGAAGGTTATTGCACTATGTTTTCCCCTACCAAAGCTCCAAACACTGATAGTCAACATAAAAGGGCCTGCCTGACCCTCTAAAGCTTTAGAAGTATATTTCCCCCCCCTCCCTACCTCCAATTAATTCCATCTAATTTTCCAGGGGCTGCTAGTTTTATTTACAAACTGGTTGGCAGCACTATGTTTAAGTAATCACTAATTGCTCCTAATGATAGTTTTATTTTCTGTTCATCTGATTTTCAGTCTGGTTAATTAAATCGGTGGAGGTTTAGACTTTCCTGATGGGCTGAAACAGCTAATCCATTTTGATGATGGCACATAATTAAATTAGCATGCATTACATAGCAAGGTTCCACATCTCTTCCCTGCTCTGTCCCTTCCTGCAGTTTAATATGTGAAGGTTGGTGTGTAGCAGATTTAAGGAGGAAAAGATTAGGGAGGATTGGGGGAAACACACCTCATTGAGAAATGGAAACCTGTAACTAGAGCTTGTGTGTGAATGGGTAGGGAAATAGTGTGTTCTGTGCTTTAGATAAGTACAGTCAAAGCAAAAATTAACATTTGCCTGTGTTGCTCCAGCAAATAGACAACTGGAAAATCAACTTTAAAAAAAAATATTAATGGACTCAGCATGGGGGAGAAAAAATCCTGGGTTGGGGAGAGCGCAGCACATTTAAACAATGGTTCCCTCCTTCCATTTAATCTTTTTTAATATCTGTAAAAGACTTGCAGGCATGGTATGAGGCAAAGTAGAGCTTGATTTAGTTTAATTATTATTAGAGAGGCTAGTCATTTGAGGGAGGGGGGAGATGTGGGAGGGGGGAGGCTATATTCCCAAGATAGGCTTTATGAAAGGTACCTAGTTAAAAAGAGTACACAGCAAATTAAATACATTATTGTGGTAATGGGACGACAGAAGTAGAGGTCTATTATACTTATGGCAGTTATAGGAAATGTAGGCTCCTTGCCCTGTTCTAGCACATCCTTTGATATTCATTCCATTCAGCAGCAGGGCCAGGACTTCTCAGAATTAAGTGATGGGTCATTATACTTTAAACACCATGGAGAAGCCTAGATTGGCAATTAAACAGCACTTGCTGACACTCGCTTGTGCCACCCTGTGACCCCCTTTAGATTGAGTTGTTGGAGCTCGGGGCCCTCAGCCTGCTAAATTGGTAGCAGGCACTTCTCCTGACGAGGGCTGGCTCTGAAATCTGCCGGCTTCAAAGGGAGCAAGATCATGTATAAACCATAATGTGGGTGCACCGTGGCTCAAAAAATAAGGCAGGAATAGATGAAATGTTACAAGTGCAAGGGGAAAATGAGAGAATAATGACAAATCTAATGCAACTCAAAGCAGAATTGTTGCACAGAAAAATGCATCCCACTGCTTGTGCATAAAATCAAGGCAGGCAGATGACATCCAGTTAACAGAAACATGTCAACAGTGAAGTAAAGTGAGAGTGAGTAAGAGAGAAGCCCCTGAGACAGCCAGGAACAAAAAATTAGTTGTCCTTAACAAGTTAAGACTCATCATTATATTCTGGCTTGGAGCCATAAAAGGAGACAGTGGTGTATAATGAGCTGCTTAGAATTTTTAGGGTGTTTATTGCAATTCATGGAATACTTGTCTAGAGAGAAAAATACGGGGGGATGTCGTAGGCGAAGGTGAGGGGTGTGCGTATATGCACACAGCCTTTCTTTTTGTCTCTGACATGAGCCCGTATGCGCGCACACGCTCAGGCGCACACGCAGGCTGATGAATAGATTTAAGATGTTTATCCTTTGTTTCAGCCCAGAAACTTCTCTTCTGGTTTCCCTTACGTGGGAACACCCTCTGGGCAGACCGCGCTCCGATACGTGGCCCAGTGCGTGTTTTCTCATGCCCGCTCTATCAGCTGGAGCGCTGAGCTCAGCCCTGGGACAGCCCTTGCCCCAAGTAGCCAGCGGAGCTGGGAGATGGCGCTGGCGTGCCGGGGGGTGCAACAGTCCCACAGGGCCTTGGCACAAGCCTTGGGAGTCTGTGTTGGCTCTGCCCAAGCACTGGAGCCAGGGCAGACCCCAGCCTTACACCTCCATCCACATTTTTCCAGAGCCTTCCTTTAAAAGGGGTTCCTGTCTTTGCTTGGTATAGACCTTTGGAGCGTGTAATGGCTTCCCAACCCTGCATATTCCCTAAGCTTAGTAATTTTAGTTCATTAGTTAGAGTGTGCTTATGAATAGTTTATAAAAGATTAATGGGTGACTAATAGTGATTTTCATAAATGGTTTAGACTATTAAGGTAGTGTCTTCAGGTTGTTCTAACCATTTACAACTATTTTCTCCGCTTGTAGCATCACCCTACTAACTTCTTATGCATGCAACGTGATTATAACAGCTCCTGATCCTTCATTACCCCTTTATAATACGCCCTAAATATAAATTGAGGTAGGGTTAACTGACTGATGGGCAAACAGTGGAACCACTATGAAAAAGCAACTGCTGCGAGAGGAAATCGGGAAATAATTTAGCAGAATTACACCAGACAAACACAGCACAGCAGTTAAGTGGTGGCAGTAGAAAATACCTTCTGTAATTGAAATTTCAGTGGAAATTCACTTTTGCTGAATGTAATTACTGAAGCTGGAGTGTAGCCAGGAACTTAAAAATTAACACTCCTCTCCCACTCATATTGCCAAGTGAGTGGATGTCTACATGGAAATAAATAGTCTCTAGAACTTTGGCTACAGCAGCATCCTCTTCTCTTCAGTGCTAGGTCTTGCCTAGGGCAGACAGCCATTCGAGAGGATGTGTGTCGACTTTTTATCACTGTGCTTATACCACTTTCAGAGAGGTCAGGGTTTTGCCATGAGTTTTATTTTCACCCATGTTTGTAAGTTATTTTTTTAAAGAAAGCGGTTACTATCAGTTCTTATTGTTTGCATTGTACTGTGGTTGAAGGCCCCAGGCGCTGTGTGAATGAACTTTAAGTGTGTCCAAACAAAATACACACACACACACAAACAGAGAGGAGAGCAGAATAAAGCGATACAAAGGCCCAGTTTGTGTCTTGCTGCTGGTGAGGCAATTCTGTGGCACAGGTGGGATCAGGACATTGGTCTTCTTGCAGCCTTGCCCTTGTCTTCTCTTCTGAGCTGCCGTGCACCAAAGCATTTCTTTCCCAGCTACTTTTGTCAGAGAGCAGGGAAGGCATTTTGACAATCCACTTGGAGATTTGTGTCCAAGGGCCTTTAGCAGACGTAGAAATCTGTGGAGAAGTAACCATTTTGCTGCCCACTCTCCTCTTCCCTTGCCATCACACCCTCCTCCTGTCCTGCTCCCCATGCCTTTGTTTGCAGGAGCTGCAGTTCTCCAGTTTGAACCATTTTACATTCTCCCTGTCAGTCCCTGCTCTTCCCACCACTGCCTTCAAAGACAAACTAGTTCTGTCTAATGATCCTGAGTACCACCAGCTGATAGACAAAGACCCTCAGAGCTCATAGTGGACCCCTTGTTCATGAAAGTGCTACTGTGTCATCTTCTGAATGTAAGGAATGTCTAGGCAGTTGGAGGGGGGCATTTATAAGGGAGGAAAAAATAAAGAAATCCCATTATATTTCCATTACTTGTACACGGTCTACTTATCCATGGTATATCACCCCATTTTAAATCCCATTTGATAGGACAAAATCATTGTATATTGATGATAGAAGAAGTAATTCTTTATCCTTTGCATTCTCTGGGTACTTTATTTCAACAAAAGCAGTTCAAAATCTGGGATGAGAGTAGGGATTTGCAGTCATAAGAAACCTCGTCATTTGCCATAATCACTTTAGCCTAGGATTTTTGGGGAAGTTATTTTTGAACTGAATTTTTAGACTAGATCCCATTCCCTGGAAATCTGTTGACTTCAGTGGGGGTTTTCTAAGGGAAACGTGGTCAGTTGTTGTGTGCTTTCCTTATTCACTGCAAAACCTCTCTGAGACTGTTGAGAAATAATGATGAGAAGTCAATCCTGCTTTTGAGAAGTTTGTTCATGTTGGTTAAAAAAGTAAAAAGTCTGACTGATTGTGCCATGTTCGTGCTGTGGCCCCAACTGAGCAATTAGATGCGTGCAGAAGGGTTGCACATCCTCTGAATCCAATTGCAGGACCGGGGCCTGTCCATGTATATGACCATAAACCATAAAGCTGACAACATTTTTTTTACTTCAGAAAGGCTAGACTGTTATTTTGCATGAATGCAAGCCTTCCTAGGTTATCTTAATGGGTCAAAATTGACTTTAATTCCACAGTCTTCCCACCTTCTGTTAAAGCAATGTGGCTCAGAGATTTATTGGAAGCAAATAAATATTTTCTTTTGCTCCATCAACAAAATGTAGCTAATGAGGCATCTATAAGGATTATCAAAAATGCATCTAGATTGTGTTGGCATTAATATTTTATATTGCTGTCAATATGCAACAAAAGATGTCATCCTAAATTCACAACATGATTCAGAACTATAAAAATTGATTCCTTGGTTGCCACGGATAATTTCTTAGCAAAGAATGGACTGGTGGATTTTCTTGCAGGTAGCTGAAATTGCACTTTCATCCAAGTTCATCCAGTTGAATTTGCCTTTTGTTAAAGATGTTAAAAATCATGATGTCTCATGTCAGTAACGATAATGAAGGGGAAGACTGGCTTTAATGACATTAGAAGAGTCATTATGTTTAATTTATTGCTAATTAATGCTGCCAGCTTTCATATGCTTTGTCTAGCTGTCATGTGCTTGTTATATGCTTTTTTTTTTTAGTGTGTATACACATCCCTCCCCATTCATTCATTTTTATTCTGACGATTTACACAGCTTTCTCTCCTCTAGGTTTCCTCCACACATGGTCCCGCCACACCACAGTTTACATACAACTGGAATCCCTCATCCGGCCATAGTCACACCAACAGTCAAACAGGAATCTTCTCAGAGCGACGTCGGCTCACTCCACAGCTCGTAAGTTGTTGCTTCCCCTGTCGTCTTTTTAGAACACCCAAAGCATCACCTGTGCATGTGTGGTTTTTAAAAAGGCTTGGATTTGTGGAAATGTTGCTCTAAAATATTTTTTTAAATTGCTTCTTTTCTTTTGTTCTAATCGATTTCAACATGGCTTAACTATAGCAGTCATTCTGTGACACAGACAAGTAATTATTAATCTCACCCATTTTAACAAGGAAGTGGAATTTTCTTGATCAAGATTCAAGCTTCTTGACCAGTTTCTCTGTTACTCGGTGCCTGGTTTGAAGCCCTGAGATACCAGATGCACAACAGGAGACAGTAAATTAGAGCATAAACGGCTTGTTCAAAGCTGCAGAGAGAGCTGGTATTCAATTTAGGTTTGAACCAAGGAGAGCTCTGGTCTACCCCTGCCCCCAGTGCTTCTGGTGCTTCTTGCCTTTCATTTAACGGGTGAAGCAGAAAGATGGCATTTTGGTTCCCATTAATGATGGGGTATAATTATTTCCTCTACCGTTATGCTCACAAGCCCTCCCCATGAACCTGTTTTCCTGGGTGCCGATGTCCTTCCAAGGTGGTTCTAGAGTCTGAGAGGGTACATGGTGATACTGTGTAAACATGAGATGGGTTTTCTTATGACGCTCTTAAAACTCTTCTCATACAGCGACCAGGCTGAAGGCCCTAGAGAACCTTCTGGTCCTCTTCCTGAGGATTTCTGAGGATTAATGCTAGACAGATTGAGGGGATTAATTTAATAAATTCACATGAGTTCTCACTGTGAGGTTTCTGTCTATTGTGTCTTTACCCTTCAGAAAACATCAGGACTCCAAAAAAGAAGAAGAGAAAAAGAAGCCACACATAAAGAAACCTCTTAATGCATTTATGTTGTATATGAAGGAAATGAGAGCAAAAGTTGTAGCAGAATGCACATTGAAAGAGAGCGCAGCCATCAACCAAATCCTCGGTCGAAGGGTAGGTAACAAGGGAGAAGCACAGGCAGGGAGTGAAACTCAGTAGGAGTCACACACACCTTCTGTATCACTACGTTTTCCTGATATTTTGGCAACGGATAGGGAAGTTACTAAACCACCGGTCTTAAGGTTTGGATTTTGGTTTTTCACACTTTTTGCCCACGGTGTCATTCATGGGGAAGAGAGGGAGTTAGTTAATAGTGGTTTTACTTCAATGTTATTCCTATGAACTGTAGATGGATTTTTATTCTGTCCTAAAACAGGCCAAAAAGTAACTGGGGAAGGAAAAAGCCTTTGGGTACAGTACGAGAGTCAGCGCTGTGAGACCTGGAAGAGGAGAGGAGGTGCCAGTAGGGAAGGGAGGGAGAGACCTTCTCTAAACCTGGAACTGAGAGATGGCTCAGGACAAGTGGTTCAGCTTCTGGACCCTCTCTCTTGCTCTATGTTTTTGTTGAGTTTTCTTACTGCTCCTCTCTCATCAGGAGACAAAGGGGCTGAGGGAATGTAAATGATTAGTTGTGACTCAGTTGAGTTAACTGGGGTTATAATCTGCAGTTATAAATAAAATATGACTGTCAGCATGCCAGATCATCTGTTTTTATCTCTTTTGTTATGAAAATCAACTCTAACTGTGTTTATATATAAATAATATACTCTGGTGTTAACGTGCTTTAAAAAAAACCCAAACACTTGTGCTTTTTATTTTGTCTTTTTCTCTTTTCTTCACCTCAGTGGCACGCATTATCCAGAGAAGAACAAGCGAAATACTATGAACTAGCAAGAAAGGAGCGACAGCTTCATATGCAGCTGTACCCAGGCTGGTCCGCACGGGATAACTATGTAGGTTCCTATGTAGGTGGAAATTTTTTTAGTAGTAGAGCTTGTAGAAATGTATAT